GAAATTATTGTAGGTAAGGAAAGCACAGATCAGATCATGTCACCCTCTCTCTCTACAATCATCAATGACTCCCAAGCACAGTTACAGGCTCACTCTTTGTGATTCCATGGACCAGGACATCCCTATTCTTATACTCCTGAAAACTCAGATGGCTTCTTCAAATCTCTATATCCCAAGCACTCAGCATCGTGCCTGCCACTGGTAGGGGGCTCAGTATATCCATCCCAGAAACATATGGAACCCCTCAGAGACATTTGATTCCCAAGTTAACTATGGACCATATAAGAGCAAGAAGGATTGTGAACACACAGTTGGAAGGGTTATTGAGGGTCCTACCAATACAGCGCAAAATGCACCCTGTGATGATGAATTCTGTGCATCAACTTGGCTAGGCTCTGGTGCCCATCTGTTTGATCAAGATGTTTCTGTGAAGGCATTACATGGATGTGATTAACATTCACAATCAATAAACTTTGATTAAAGCTGGTTATCCTCCATAATGTGGATGGGACTCCTCCAGTCAGTTGAAGGCCTTCAGAGAAAATACTGAAGTTTCCAGAAGAAGCAACTCAGTTGCAAGACTGCACCTTAGAAATGCAGCCTGAGTTTCTAGCATGCTGACCTGCCCTGCAGATTTCCAACTTGTCAGCCCACACCCACCCGCAGTCACATAAGGGAGAGAGAGGAAGAGAGGTAGAGAAAGAGAGAGAGACGTTGCCTTCCCGCAGCAGGAAGAACATGGACAAGCCTAAGGATGGACCTGGCAGAGATGTGGGAAGGCTAGTGGAGGTGGGGCTTGAGGAGTGTCAGCTCTGTTTCAGGGTGGCAACAGTTTGTAAAGCTTAAGCAATCAAACTGTCAAAGCATGCACGTGCACCTGCGTGCATACACACATGTGTGCACACACACACACACAACATAAATGTATATAAAACCTGGTACAATCTGAATAAGCCCTGTTCATTGGACCAATGTCAGTGTCTTGGTTTTGATACTGTACTATATTATACGTAAGATGTTACGATGGGGGAAAGCAGAGTGAAGGTTACGTGAAATCTCTCTGTATCTTTCTAAACTTTCTATGAAAATGTAATTATTCAAAATATAAGGTAAAAAAAAAAAAACCTTCGAGCAGACTCATGATATATGAAAAATAGTAGCATGAGAGTTGGCCCCTCCTGTAACCCTCAAACCACCCAGCAAACAGGCAGCATGTTCCTGTCAGGTGACGCCCATAGACTCCAGGACAGCAACCCACGCCGGAGAACACACCAGCAGGGAACCCAGCAGAGGGTACCACCTCCCCCGACCCATCATGCTTATGTCCCCACCACCTTCCAGTGAGGAATTGCATATCCAGAGCCTGTGTGTTTGGGTTCTGAGTTCTATTCCCCAGTTCCAGTTGAGGCCCAGGACTGGCTAGAAACTACCAAGGCAAGCTCGTCCTTTCCTGGACAACTGCACAGCTCCAGTCCAGACTAGGAGAGCACAGCCCACCAACAGAGCTTAAGGCACAAAAATTGTTCTGGAGCTGAGATTTGTTAAGACCCTGCCCACACTTAGCCCACCTGTTTATCTAAATCTCTTCTACCTTATGAATGAGGAGGAAAGTAGCCCCAAGATGCATTGGACTGTCACTGCCCTTAATATGCAGATACACACCCGGATCCTCTTCCTCACCCCTACCACGATCTGCTCTCAGCTGTTCAGAGGAGCCTGCCTTCCACATACAAGTGTCCCAGAGGCAAGGAACAGTGGGGGCAGTTTGAGAACATGCTGGGCTCACTCACTGCAACCACCATCCTCCCTTGGTCAGAAGCCATGAATGTTGACAGAACTGACAGAAGGGGGGCATCACACAGAGGCTAGGGAAAGAGGACTCAAGATGAAAAGATTGTATATGGCACGATGAAGCTTTAGCCTCTTTTCTCAGCTCATTTGCTGTTCTACAATGAAGTGTCTAGAGGAAACATTTATCTCTGCCCTCCCAGCCCGGGAACACCAGCTCTCATTAACTTTCCAATTTCATTCCTTCAGAAGATCCAAGTTCAGATAATCCAATTTATATGTATTAAAAATTACTTGAGGCAAGTGTCCAAGGGAGTACCCCCTCTCACCCTCCCCCCCGGCAGTTCTCATATTACATAAGAAGGACCTCTTAAAAAATGCAACCCACCATCTTTTATTTTGGTACATGAGTCTGAGGCACTTGTCTGGTGATTGTGAAGGCAGTTCTTAAAAGCAATGGTTCTCGGGCGCCTGGGTGGCTCAGTTGGTTAAGCGACTGCCTTCGGCTCAGGTCATGATCCCGGAGTCCCGGGATCGAGTCCCACATCGGGCTCCCTGCTCGGCGGGGAGTCTGCTTCTCCCTCTAACCCTACCCCCTCTTGCGCTCTCTCTCTCACTCTAATAAATAAATTAAAAAAAAAAAAAAAAAAAAAGCAATGGTTCTCCACCAGAGGCAGGTTTTGTCCTCCAGGGGGCATTTGGCAATGTCTGGAGACATCTTTGGTTATCACAACTGGATTGGGGGCATTGGGGAGCCTGCTGGGCCGAAAATGCTGCTAACATCCTACAACCCCCACAAAAAAAGGATTATCTGATCCAAAATGTCAATAGTGCCAAGGTTGAGAAAACCTGCCTTAGAGTTCTCTACAAGTTTACTACGTTTGTAACCTTTATCATTCATTCAGCAAACAAGCACTTGGAACTTAGCATAATATTCAGACAGTGTGCTAAGCCCTGAGGCTGGGAGCCTGCCTTACAGCATCTAGTAGAGGAATGGCAAAGGTATAAGGAAAATACAAGGCAATATGGAGCCTGAGTGAAAATACATATTAACACAGGGAAGGACATGCGTTCTGGGGGACAGGAAGAACTGATGTCACTTCCCCCAAGACAACTGCAAACTGCATATTCAGTCTCAGATATAAAATTAGATCTCAAATATAGAACAAATATAACATGTAACTGCTGGGAAAGATCATCACGCCCCTAAGCACTTTTGAAGCAAACTGCCTTAATGTTTTTATATACATACACATCCTCAGAGAGAAGCAACCTACTGCTTTCTCTGTGACTTTGTTCCCTATTAAGATTATTTTCCTAACAGTGTTTTTCCAGTACCAAGATGTTTTACTTCCTTCTCCTGCCCTTAGTTTATTCTTCTATCTATACTTGTAAATATCGATAAACATACAGTGCAATTCTGTAACTGCTAATCAGCTAAGGGGTATGTATGTAGCTCTAGTATCTTTCCTTTGACAGCAGTTTGAATTGATTCACAGTTCTGTGGATGCACTTTCCTGAATGTCCGTCAGTTGGCCTCTCTTTTTCAATACTGAGTGCCAAATATGTAGCAGGGACAATTGTCTCCATACCTCCTGCTCCCATTTCTCAAGCTGAGAGAAGCCTGGGACAGCACAAAGGTGCTTGTGAAGAAGGAAAATGAGCATAAGAGAAAATGGCCTTTCCCCAGGAAAATGAATGGCCAGATCCAAGAGGGTTTGATCAAACAAAACTGCACTTTAGATTAGATTTGAAAGGCAAAATAGCCTAGTGATCATTTCCATGGCAGATACCACAGACAATTACATATCTTCCAGGTCAGCAATGTGGATGATAAAACTGTCTGGAACACCATCATTGACAAATGTGAGCTCATAGCTAAGCTGAAATTAAAACCAGTTATGAAACAGAATTATCACATGCCATATGCCCATGCACAAAATATTCCAGGCCATCTTACAAATTAAATCATTAACATACAGCTTTGAGGCTCTACTTGGTGAATACTTGTGCACAATCCTGGGCTGTCATTTTTTGTTTGTTGTTTAAGTCTGGGTTCGACTCCTGACTCTACCACCTTATAGTTCTGGGACCCAGATAAGTTAATATAACCTTTCTGAGTCTATATTTTTCCATCTGTGAAAGGAGGAAAATCATAGCTATCTCTCAAGATTGTCATTTGTCCTAAGAGTCTGGGTCCCCTGGGGAAAATACAGACCATGTCAATGGTCAGCAGCGACCACCCTGAGGGTTGGGAGAACAGAGGGCAGAGGTTGGAGTTATCACAACCTGGAGGCTTCAAAGAAGGGCCCTGTGGAGCTGAGGCACAGATTGCTGGGGATGGGGAATGTCTGCAGCAGAAACTGTCCTAACAGAAGCTTAGGAGCCCACGCAGCTGAGCCTCCACTGATTCTGAGAAGGTGCAGAAGAGAGCTGGACACTGGAACCAATTGCTACTACCAGGGTGCCAGGCCATCTCCAGGTGACACTCTCAAGGACCAGCAAGTATGGAAGAAGGAGCAGATTCCTTCCCCTGCTCAGCCTCAGTCTCCCTCTCTCACCTCTGCGGGCAGATGGCAAAGGAGAAATGTGATTACGGAGAGCCCCATCTCTACACAGTGGACCTCGGAAGCCTGGATTTGGAGCTGAGGGACACATGGTCCGTTCATCCACTCATTACCTACGCGTATGGGGTGCTTTCCATGTGTCTGACTGAGGGGCTCTGCGCTATGCACTGGGGAGTCTGGAGGATTAAACAGAAAGCTCTTATAAAGTGCACAGCTCAGTGACGAGGACAACTCAGTTAAAATCAGTTCTCTCTAAGACCCAGTGGGAAACATAAAGGAAAAGGAAATAGAAACCAAACCAAAACAAACAAAACAAAAACCCAGCTCCTGTCTTTCAGGAGTTTCATGTTTTAGGTTAAGTGTTGTAGGATGAGTCGAAGAGCAGAGTACAAAGTAATACATGTTCATACACTTTGAAAAAATATTTCAGACAAAACTACTTTAAGAATTCAGAGAAGCCAAAAAACATTTGGGGGATGATCAGGGAAACCCTCATAAAAAAAGATGAGAATGACCAAGCCCTCACTTAGACCACAGCCGAAAGGGTAAGACCATTACACATTAAAGAAAGCGAGTGAGCAAGTAACCGTGGTGTGAATTTGCTGTGTGATTACCTGACCTCAAAAAATGGAGGATGGATTCAAGATGTGGAGTATGGAAGGTGGGGCCAGTAGGACATTTCTTGACTTTATTCTGAGGGATAGATGAGCCTCTGGAGCTTTCTGAATGAGCAGAAGGTATGTGTAAAAGACATTATCTTTGCAGTCCCTATCACATCTAGCACAATACCTTGCACATAATGGACTGTTTGGGAAAAAAATTATTACATTGACTGAGGTGGGATGGGACAAAATTATAAAGGCAAGTCCTAACTTTGAAAATCTTCATATATTTCTCTCTTTTTAATTATGTAATAAATGCTTTATGAAATGTTTCAAATAATAGTGAGCAATTTTAAGGCCAAAAGTTCAGGAACCACAAGAATTCAAGCAATGATAAAAATGTTAAGTAAGGGTATAACCCACCCATCAAGACTCTGTGCTCATTTCAGATTGAGAGCCTGCCATTGGAACATGGCATTGATCAACATTAACTATGGAGAGACTTGGAAGGATTATTGATGGCATCAGGAGTTTATGCAAAAACAAAGTGCTGGACAATATGTTTTTGAATCAATTTTAGTGATTCATGTAGGAAAAGAAATGATATCATTGGTGTGAATTTTTAATGGAACTTTGCAGAGCATACAATGTACTCACACCTAATCTGTTGTGTTCTTCTTCGCAGATCCATTACAAGATTTTGGCTTTTCTGTTGACCAGTGTTCTAAACATTTAAAGTCAAATCTCAACATTAGATTTGGAATCATTCTGAGTAAGTAAAGAATATTGACATGAAATAAAACATTGCACAATCTCTTCCTGGCCCACACACCACAATTACTTCCATTAACGACAGTAGCTGGCTAAGTGGCTGGCTAAGCTACTGTCCCCACCACTCTGTGGACAACTCTATTTCCTTCTTCATTTTTACTTCTCTCTCTGGGTAACATCTAGATACAGTGGAACTCCCACTGAATGCTGTGCTCTTGTACTGAAAAGACTTGAAGCATTCATTTGGATGATATCAGCACCCAGAATCCGTAAATCCAACAACAACAAAAAGATAATACGTCAAGCCTAAATATTGATGTCTATGTGAGAGAGAGCTTTTGCTTTGTTATCTCAGCAACAAACAAGTCTACCACCAGCAGTATGGCTTATCATTTAATTTATTTCATTTCCCAAATAGCTGGTGCAAGTTCTTAAACCTTTGACAAAGGGAAAAATATGTAATACCTTCTCCCTCCACCCCAATTAATGAGCTAGGATGCTGATTGTTTATTTTTATTTGGACATGACTTTACACTTAGTCATTATATTGCTATAGCTACTAGAGTATCTCCCTTCTAAAGCAGTTTTATCAAAACCAGAACAGAAGGACTTAATAAACTTAGCGTGTGGAATCATTCCAGAGAAATGGAGGGAACGTTGCTGGCGACCAAGAACTCTCGTGCATCTTCGTATTTCCAGAACCTTGCCCAATATCTGGATTCTATAGCAGCAGCTGAGTAATCAAAGAGGAATAAAAAGAGGAGTAGAGGGAACATAAAAGGAGGAATGGAGAAAAAGGGAGAGCACCCTAAAGCTTCCTGTGTAATATGATACAATATCTACCTAGCAACTACGGGGGGGTGACCCCACCCAACCGCTCTTAGGAGAGGCACATAATACTGCAAATACTGCAGCTGGAAAGTTGTAGAAGCCGGACCTGCAGCCATCTCCTTGAGGGGCCAGAGCATCTGGGCAGAGAAGCACAACAGTGTGCCTACCTTGCTCCAAACAGATCAAGTTCATAAAAGGGCATATTCATACCTAGGTCTCCGGCCATTATCCCCTGTAGCATTGCTTACGTGCTGTTTTACAAAAAAAAAAAGGAACGAAGGAACGAAGGAAGGAAGGAAGGGGGGAGGGAAGAGGTAGGGAAGGAAGGAGCAAAGGAACGAAGGAACGAAGGAAGGAATAAAACTGTTCCCACAGGGCAGGCTTCTGGAAATAAAAGGCCTTTTGGCTCATGCTTCTATAAATGTTGAATGCTTTGATACGAAACTAAACCCACTCTAATAGTAAAGCCGATCTTTTCTTTCCCTTTAGGAGAAGACATCAAAGAGCTGTTTCTTGACATAGCTCTCTTCACTAAAGGATCACCCATTTTGAATTTCTCCTATCCCATCTGTGAAGAGGATCTACCCAAGTTTTCTTTCTGCGGAAGAAGGAAAGGGGGTAAGCTGTCTGTCTTGCTGACTCTTGCTAGGGTCCAGAGAGGGATGAGCAATGGCTTCCAGTTGAGGCTGGAGCCCTGGGGGTTCCACCCCTCACGTTAGGACAAGCTTAACCTTGCTTATCAGCGTGTGTCATATAAAAATAAACATGAAGCTCATTTCACAGGACCTACCTTATATACTGAGTATAAATACTAAGTGAAACATACATGTGAGACATTTTACAAATAGAAAAATGTTACTGTTTCTGGTGGCACCTTGCAAAAAAAAAAAAAAGGGGGCTGGCATCATAAAGAACCAACAGCTTCCCCAAATCCACTGAGATGCAAAGTATCTCCAGGTTTCTCCTCAGCAATCTCTTTAGTGACAGGGTCTCCTCAATATGGCAATGGACTCTGAGAAAAAGAAAAAAAAAATGAAGCTTTCTAAATGTCACTGTTTTATTGTGGTCTTGCCCAGTTGAGTCGTTGACTAATGGGGGCATTAGGTAGCTAGACTCAAAGTACACAGCATAAAACCATGACATCATCTGTTCCTTTTGTCAATTCACTAACTGCCTACCCCCGTGCTGTACATACCCCAAGGAACATAAGAACCTCATTCCAGCCAGTCCTCACCTCCTTCTGTGTCTTCTCCTCCCCCAGCATCTTCACCAAGGCCCTGAGATACCTTTGTTTATTTACCTAAAACATGGGTCTGATCTGTGACTATCCTTCCGGAAGTCACTCTCCTCCCCCTTCCCAGGGCATTCTTCCCTGTCCCAGGGGCCAAGGGGGAGTGCACCCCTTAACCCCACACACCAGAAACATCCGCTTATTTATTTCCTCATTCAAGGAAGCCAGAGTGTAATTACCCAATTGTGCTTTCTAACCAAAGGATCTAGAAGAAATTGGGGTTCCCTTCGCATAACTAATGGGTGCAGACAGAGAAAGTTTGTGCAGGAAAAGAAAACAGGACATTTAAGAAAGCGCAGGCTCCCTGAAGCTGAGGCCTCAGCTCAGCCCTCCCTCCTCAACCTCTTCTCCGTTCCCCAAAGTGTGGGTGCATAACCATATTGGCACAATCATTTATTCCCGTTTGTCATCCTCAGTAGACGATGAGCTTCTTCAGGTTGGGGTAGGAGCATCTTGGTCTTTATGCCCAGGACTTCAAATGTGCCTGCTACACAGAGAGTACTCAGTACTGAGCACTCCAGCACGCACGCAGATGGAAAGAGCCCGCACCAGTAAGCATTCGTGCCAGGCACTGTTCTAAGAGCTTCACATCCAGTCAGTCATTTACTTTCTACCCCAGCCTTGTGAGTTAGTACTATTAACATTCTAATGCCAAGTCACAGAGCTAGTGAGGGAGCCCTGGCTCAAACCCAGGTGAGCTGGCTCTGGGACCCACAATCTTATTGGCTAAGGAATGGATCAACCAAAGAAGAAACAAGAAACTGTGCCTTTTGGCCAGGAGTTTATTTTTTTTTAATTAATTTTTTTTTTGATGTAGTGTTCCATGATTCATTATTTGCATATAACACCCAGTGCTCCATGCAGTACGTGCCCTCTTTAATACCCATCACCGGGCTAACCCATCCCCCCACCCCCCTCCCCTCTAGAACCCTCAGTTTGTTTCTCAGAGTCCATCGTCTCTCATGGTTTGTCTCCCCCTCC